CCCCAAAACCCCAAAACCCCAAAACCCCAAAACCCCAAGGTGCTCATTAAGAGTTGAAATTTGAATTTATGAAAAATTTATTCTAAGTGATAATCTTTAATTAAAATGGAGCAAGCAATCATTTACGATCATAATGATCCTGAGGATGTACAGAAAGCCAAGAAATGGGAGAAAACCAGAAGAGGAAATATCACCACTCAAATCAAGACTCGGTCTAAGGTCCAAGGGAAGGAATCTGTCAGACCTACTGTTATTAATAGTGAATTGATAGCAGAATACTTTCAGGAATATAACAGAGAAAATAAAATTTTTAATAAAGACGATACTCCTTTGTGGGATTTCACTCACTTGGCATTATCTTATAAAAATATCATAGATATTGGAAACTTGAAGGGAATGGAGAAGCTAAGAAAGCTCCAATTAGACAACAACATTATTTACAAAATTCAAAATCTTGATCATTTAGTTAACTTGGAGTGGTTGGATCTATCTTTCAACCAGATTGAGAAGATCGAAGGACTAAACTCCTTGACAAAGCTCACTGATCTGTCTCTCTATAATAATCATATTGTGGAAGTAGGAGGCCTTGGGAAGCTCATGGAGCTGAATGTTCTTTCTCTTGGTCAAAATAGAATTAAAAGCTATGAAAATGTCATCACTTATCTCAGAGAAATTCCCAACAAACTTGAAGTCTTGACGCTTGAAGGAAATCCATGCATCAAGAAAGATCTCAAAGAAGAGTATCAACTCTATGCATATGCTTATCTTGATAAGCTCCAGTACCTGGACTATCATATTGTCAAGCAAGAGAGTAGGAATACTGCTCTTGAGAAACACAGAGAAGATATTGATGAGCGTGACAACCAAAAGGAAGCTGATAAGAATGTTGTTACCACTCCTACAATGATGTCTAAAGAGCGTAGACAACAACTCATAGAAGCTCATATCCTGATTGCAAGTGATATTTTCAAAAGAAATCTTGCTGAAGATGAAGTCATGCAAAAGTTCACTATCCTTCCAAACTACCAAGATATCATGCAACAGATAGATGATGAAGTCAGAGATAAAATTGAAGAGTTCGTGGATGATGCTCTCAAAAGTCACCAAGAGAAAAAGGAAAAGATTGCATACTGGACAGAGATACTTAAGGAAGGAGAAACTAAAGCAGAACTAAAATCTATTGGCTTGATCAATGAATTCAACGCTAAGCATAAAAAGGAGTATGGAAGTATGAACTGGGATCAATCAACAGACAAGCAATTACATGATTACAAAGAGTGGAATGACATAAACCTTAAAGAACTTGAAGACAAGCTAATGCTTGTAGAAATGAAACTAGTTGAATCTCTTGGACTTGCAAATACTGAATTCAGCAAAGATATTGAGAACATTAACAATGAGTTGACAACAAAAATTACCAAGTTCACTGATGGTGTGCAAGATCTGATCAATCAATTCCAAGTTGATCTTAAAGATCACGCTTACAAACTTAATGAAGAGGTGACTAAAGAAGAAGAGAACCCTACTTATCAAGACATTGGAGATGACACTGATCTATTACAGTTGATCTATGACAAAGATATTCTCGCTCAATTCTTCGAGCAATGCAAAGAGAACCAAGAAAACAAGATTAGTGAGAAGAACAACGTCATGAGGAGCGATATCAACAACGATTGGAAGGACATTAAACAAAGCCTAACAGAAGCCCAACACGACAGAAACAGAGATATAATTCTTGAAATTATAAAATTCACAAAAGAGAAGAAAAACGAAGTTGATGATCTTCTTATGCAATACTTAGAAGAAGAATAGGTATTTAAATTCTCAATATCTGGATGAGCTAGTGGGGTTTTGGGGTTTTGGGGTTTTGGGGTTTTGGGG